CAAATTTGAATCGGATAAAAATAACGCTTAATTTCTTCAAGATTTCTAATACAAAAAAAATCGAATAAACAAAACTAGCTGCAATCTATCATAGCCGATCATTTTTTATATTATGAGTGCTTTAGTCTCGGTAAATTCATCTTTCATCACGCATAATTTTTTTAAAAGATACCGGAAATGTCGGTTGTTCAAAATTAATCTCAGGTTAATAGGTTACGATATGGACAACCTGTAACCTGGCCCTGCCCTGTCAGGGCAGAGCAGGTTACGTGGACCCTGCATGGCTCTACGCGTATGTCTACTATTTCAAAGAATTGTCTGTACTTACAATCGATATAATTTGGATTTGAAATCAATACCAAATTCATATTTACATGAACTTGGCCTATCAATTAATCCTCAAAATGTCACATCATTAACACTGTGATGATGAACAAACTCCAAATCAAATAGCCTACTTTATGTCATTAGTTCGCCTTCGACGATTTACTCGACTTTATTCAATAAGCCTTAGTGGCATCACAGAATTTCTATTGAACATGATTTCAAAACACCTGAATTTAAATTGTTTGACTTCACTTTCATTAAATATCCAAAACTATGATAGACGGCGAAAAACAACATTAAAATTTCTTTCATCAATTTTAGCACAGTCAAGTCTTCGAAAAATTGAATTGAATATAAAAATGATCTTATACATAATATATCATGGCCTGTCAATACTCGAAATGTTCATTCAAATATCGATTCCGATATTAGTTTTGACACTATGCTGAATATTCTTTCATGCTCTTTTCAACTGCATACACTTATTCTGAAACAAAACTTACCAAGACGCATATATAAAACGAAACAAACATTTTTGTTCTCACAATTAACGACATTGACAGCAGAAAATCTAAATAATACTATTGATCAACTCGAATCATTTCTATTATGTTTACCATTACTTGTTGATCTAAAATTAATTGGTAAAAACTGTGAGTTAGATGGTAAAAGATGTGAAAAATGTATTCAAATGAATCTTCCCTATTTGAATAATTTTCAATTCTTTATTTATATTACAAAACCAATTCCTCAAACTCGTGATGATCTAAGACAAATAATTACATCATTTCGAAATCCTTTTTGGATGAAATATAAAAAGTGGTTTGTAGCCGCTCAATTGAAGTCTGACCCCTCACGTCACATTCGAATTTATTCAATACCAATTTGTAAATCTGCGCTTCTTTATGAATGAAGACGTTCGTTATAAGATTAATTTGATTAGCAAGACACAAACCTAGGTTTTTTAATGTAAGTTAACTAAACTTACTGTAGATATCGATTGACGAATTTACGTGAATTCATTAAAATATCTTACATCAATAATCGATGTTTCAAAATTGGTTGAAGTCACATTAGAAGGTTGTATTTTAGTCTATACAATCGAACTATGTTGTTTAGCATTATGAATATTCTTGATCAAGTACATTCTCTCTCATCTTTTGTAATGCATAGTAAATGTTGTAAATATGAATTGCATCCATATTTACCGTGTTTATGTTCAATAAATCCCCGTCAGATCAAACATTTACCAATACCGGCCAATAAATTAAGCCAAATTAAAGTTATTTTTGAACGATGCCAAAATCTTTCGGTTGTGCTATTTGAAATAACTCGTTTGGACGTTTTGTTCGAAGTCATTGATTGGTTGGCACAATATACAATTGATTCAGCATGCCAAACACAAACTGGGCGTATTACTATATGGATTGGAACGAAAAACAATCCTATCAAAAAAAAATCATAAACGGATCAAGTTGGATGAAAATTAATCAGACTATTGACATATTATTTCATTAAATTCGAAGAAATAAAAAGAAATTTTGATTTATTAAAGTTGAATCTTTAGTTTTTAAAAGATCTTTTTTTGGTTTTTGTCGAAACAATATGGGGAGCGTAGGTGCATTCCTATAGTAGTTTCGACGATGAAGTACACAGGCTGAAAAATAATATTACCGATTAGTCTATTCCAATTGACTCATTCGGTGAAATTCATTTTAAATCATATGATTTCAATTCAGTTAAATTTAAAAAAAATGAATCCGCTGTCACATTTATTTTTTAATATGTTGATTTAATTTTTTTATCAATTTATTTTTGATCTGAAAATCTCTAATATCTTCATCGCCACTCATTTTGTTCATCAGTAACAGAGGAATTCAAAAGCAAATACATTCTTTTCTTCAAAGTATGATTTCCTATGAATGTGAATTTAAAAATAAAATTCAAAAAAGGCTACGTCATAATAGAAAATCCGAAGTCTTCTACAACGTTCTTACATATGAAATTTCTAGGGAGTTTTCTAAGTTGTCCTTTGCTCAAAACTTAAGGAAAAAAAATTTATATATAGAAAACAACGAAATTATTTTTTATTTTTCCGCATAGTTACTAACGATAATTGTTTTTTTTGACGTGATTTAACTTGAGCTCGTTGTTGTTCGGCAGCTCCATCAGCAACAATATTTATGCGATCTACTTTATCGTAATCATCATTCATTAATAATACTTATAAACATTCGTATACATGAAGATCAAGCGAATCTGATGCAAAGAATTCAGACATTAGACCACCATAGCTAAATATAACGATCCATTGTTTCCGTGTTTATTATACCTTAAATTCGAATGAAATTTCAAATTATGGTAAGCTTTCTTTTTGAATATCACAACTTATTGTTTTTTTGCGAAAGCTGTAGTATCTCAGTCAAAAGATTAACCAAAGAACAACCATATATTGCGATGATTTCGTATTATTATTTTCTCATATAAAAAGCATTGGCTGACTGATGATTTTTGATCCGCTATAAATAACGTCAATATCATCATAAAAACTGTAGAAACAGTTCTCTTTTCTTTTAACAGCAATCAAATCTTTCGGAACTATAAAATTTTGTTTTTTACCTCTCCTATGTACATAATCAATAAACGGCAGACCAGATTAATCGTTATAAAGAAATAAAGGCATAGCAATGTGTCGAGATATCGTTTATTAGATAAGTGAACATAAAACGACAGATTGATCAAAGACGTACGAAATGAATTCGAATACATCATGTTTTATACAAGCTTAACGGAAATCGTGATCAACTTCAAAGAGTAGGTTTGGTGATGCTTCTTTTACAGAATATATTTTTTAATCGACTTAACAATATGGCTGAATAAATCAAGATAGCATTTTAGTTGAAATGTAAAGCGTTTGTGTTTATGTGGCTCTCATTCTGTTTTCATACGAACGTGAAAAAAAGTAATACATGATTAACAAAAGTGTCTTCGAGAAGTAATATGATATCCTTTTAGTATAGCTATTCGGTAGTTTCAAGAGTTTATTCAGTCATGAGAAACACACAGAAATATTTATGTCTAATATCTGTAAAAATCTCCTATATCCTCTTCAATTTCTTATAATTCATATGCATTATATTATGTGAAAATGGCCACATCTACCAATATTCCTTTTTACTCTTTTGTGATTTAGTTTCTGATGTTGGCTGCCATTTTAAGAAGATGATCGGATCTCATGAACTTCAGTCATTTCACATTCATGTCAGTCTTTTCTAAATAAAAGGATTCCGTGGGATAAGCAGTGAAGTTTGGTAAGTTCTAAGCAAATTATTAGGTACACCATGAAAATTTCTAGACTTCTTTATATTTTGCGAAGTATTTCTTCCAATATTTCATGAATCAAAAGAAAAACAATCCTAGAGCTATCTTTATGTTTAGGCATACAAAGCTTATCGTCGTACCCCTCTTTTCAAGTCGCGATAAAAATAATAGATATACATGACGTACCTTCAAGAAAAGGTGGTTACTATCTCACGTGGCAATACAGTTCTTTAGTGGTGAGTTTTTGTTTGACAACAAACGCCTTAATAAGAATCGTGCTTGGTCATGTGCTACAAATTCGTTTTTCTAAATGAAAATTTCTGCAAAATATGTTGCGCCTAGAAGCTTCGGATGTTACAAAAATAAGTACATATATTAGCTGTTGTGTAGCGATCCATTACTGTTTGATTGTATCTAATCAGATCTGTTCATTTTAAACAGCATCAAGAACGAAAATATGCTGAATCTTTTAACCTTTATTCTATTATCTGTCTCGTACAATTGCATATACGAACTATCTGTTTTTCGTCATCATAAAAATGTGTAGAAATAAATATGATGCTAATCTTCATAAATATTTAACTCCCCGTTCATATTTTATTGTTTTTATTCGTGATTCCTGTTCAGAAATGCTATTTATCACCAATAAGATATTGTCGTAGGATATTAATCAAAAACTGTCACTTAACTATCAGTATTTCACAGTAAAACTGTAAATAGAAACATGGTGGGCCGTAAAGATACCGTTTTAAAGTCGTTGATGAGATGTTTCTCTCGATCTAGATAATAATATAGAGATTTATTAGAATTTCTTCACCGAAAAATGTCATGCGAATCGTCAGTATAGAATTATCTGATGAAAATCTCTGTAATTTAACTTTTATCATAGAACTACATGGAAAATCAACAGGTAGACTACGTCATCGTGGATGAATTGATAGTGCAATATTTGACTCTTATTATTTCTAATCATTCGTTAGTATTGAATCCTCTGTTTCAGATAGTACTGATGGCACTCAGTGAAGCAAAGTACGTTATGCTTTCATATCATCGTCAAAGCAAAACTACAGTTAACATAGTTTGCAATGTTCTGAGAGCCGAGAATATATCAGTTTGGTTCGATAATCGAAACATTGAAGATAATAAGTACGACAGGTATCGGTATTAGCATGTCCATTCTTTCTCTAACATTGCAGCTGGATTGCTTTCGTTTGTAGTATGATTGAAGCGATAGTGAATGCTTTAGTTGTTTGTTGTTTTATATCGCTAGAATATGAAAATGCTCCGAATTGTAAACTCGAATTGCAGTATGCACAAAGATGCCATAAATACATACTTCCATGTGTGGTTATTGACAAAGAATAACGAAAATCACTTCCGTCGAAGTGGTTGGATTTAACTACCGATTCAATAAGGACCATTAATTTCTCTGATACTACTGAATCGAATATTTATTTCAAAGCGCAAGAACTTGTTGATAGAATTAAAAGTCATTTATCAACGTTACCAACAGAATTAATTTCTGCGTCAAGTTCATTATCTGAATTAATTAAACGATAATATCTCCGAAGCAGTGCTATTAAACCCATAATAAACGAAGAAAGGTGGTTTTCTATCGAACAAAGTTACATCAATTTGGTTATGATAGAAACCGACGAACAAATTGACTGCATCAAGACACTAATCGATATCGAGGAAATATTCGAAACATGTAAGCATGAAACCAAGAAGGTACTCGTGTTCGGACGAGCTGGCATTGGAAAATCAACATTTTGTCGATATATTGCCGACCGATGGGCAATAGCTGATCTATGGCCTGAATATGAACTTGTTATTCTGATTCAGTTACGTAAATTGACAGCCACTCGCTATCCGCCGGGTCACGACTATTCGTTAGTTGATCTTGTGAAAAACGAATATCTTCATAGCCAACCACTTTCCGAGGAAGAAGAATCTATGCTGTGCACATCTGATAACATAAGCAAAGTTCTATGGTTACGATGAAATTGCAGAAAATCTACCTACACATTTAGACGGTTTAATAAAACAGATATTAAGTACTCGCTGTCATATCTTGACATCTCTACCACATGCAATCACCTTACCATACGATGTGAAAATGGAAATAACAGGATTCACAAATGGCAATGCCGCCAAGTATGTAGAACAGTTTTTCGATCAGGCCGACAATACATTAAAAGATACTTCATCGCAAGGTCGAAAGCTAGTGAAGTTTTTAAAGTATCATCCATATATTTGGAGCATTGCCCATATTCCGGTCATTCTAGATTTGATATGTAGTCTTTGGGATGATGCCCAATGGTCCACAATAGAAACAATCACTGTGACAACATTGTATGATCAAATAATCGAACAGCTATGTCGTCGATACTTAACGAAACGAAATATCAATCATCAAAACATGACAAAAACCATTGTTTACACACAATGTCGTAACGTATTAGCAATTTTAGAAAGCTTGGCTTTCAATGCCATGGAAACCGCAGTTATTATTTTCCAACCAACCTTACTTGAAAAAGCAATCAATGAAGCTGCATGCTTATCGACTGATCATTCACAGTTGCTTAACATGAGCATTCTCCGACATTACGACCATAAGCCGACTGATCCTCGAATTGAACCAGAAAAACAGTATTATTTTGTTCATCTCAGTTTTCAAGAGCATTTTACAGCACGATACTTGGTTAAAATCCTCAAGAGTTCTCAAAATCAAAGAGCAATCCATTTCATTAAAAATCACAAATACAACCCACGCTTTACATCGGTGCTGATTTTTGTATCTGGTCTACTCATACATCTCCGGGGCCAATCATGCATAGAAACGTTCTGGTCAACTGTAGAAGGCACCCCAATAGATCTTGTAGGTTTACGGCATATAAAACTCAACATTGAATGCATTGATGAGCTCAACGACTCAATTACTTCTGTTAGACGAGCAGCCTTCATAGAAACCATCATCCGATGGATCAAAATTACTTTCAATGCAGCCAACTTTATCATAGCTAATAATCTGGCACAGCCACTCAAACAAACCATTACATTGGCGAATGAAATTTCCATCCAAAATACATTTATCAATCTTCTCTAGAGTCAAGATCCAGACATAAAACGTCAAACATGTTCAATATTGTCTGAGCTGACAATATCCAACCCGCAAAAAACTCTGATTTCAACACTTATCACCACGCTCGAGGATGATAATACGAACATCAGACAGAGTGCTTGTGAAGCTTTAGGTAACTTGGCTGGAAAACCAACAATCGATGAGGTGATCGATGCGTTGGGCAGCACACTAAAAGATTGGCGGAATCCTGTTGTGGATGCAGTGGTGAAAGCATTGGTGAAAATTTGTGAGCGGTCTGAAAACACCGAGCTGATTGATGCCCTGGTCCATGAAGTTCACCATGAGAATAGCACGATTAGATCGCACGTATGCGTGGCTCTTGGTAACATAAGCCAAGAAGTAGTCGCCAGTGAGGTCATTGATGCGTTGGCCAACTCACTCCAAGATGAGGTATGGACAGTGAGATCAAGCGCGTGCGAAGCAATCAGCAGCTTGGGTAAAAATGTAGCCAGCTACGAGGTGATGAATGGCTTATTGAATGCATTTTTCGATGAGCATCCTGTTGTTAGATGGCGTGCGAGTAATGCTTTCCAAGATTTGAGTGAACAGGCAACAACCAATGAAGTGATCTTTCGTACGAGTACAAGCAAAGAAACAATCGATAGCATAGTGAACGATCTTGTGGACCAGAACGAGTGGATTAGAGCAAATGCGTGTAACACCATCGCTGACATGGAGGAAGCAAGTGCAATCAATGAAGTGATTGATGGCCTGATGAATGCACTTGGAGATACCAGCGAATATGTTAGAGTGACAGCATTTAAGGCTGTATGTAAACTTGGCTTAAAAGTAGCAACAACCGAGATGATCAGTCGTCTAGTGAATGCACTTACGGATTCGGATGAGTATATCAGAGAATGTACATATGAGGCTCTCAGTAAAATGGGTGACAAAGCAGCAACAAGTGAGGCGATTGGTGGTCTGGTCATTTTATTTGGAGATGAGGTTATAGATGTCAGCTGGCTTGCGTGCAAAGTCATTCGTAACTTTGGTGAAAAAGCACGAACAAATGAAGTAATTGAAGCGCTAGTTGACTTACTTGAACATGAAAATTGAACGATGAGAGAGATTGCGTGTGAAACTCTTGGTGACATGGGTGAAAATCATCTACCAATAAAGTAGTCAGTGGTCTAGTCAACGCACTTGCCGACCCAATTGACGACGTCAGAAAGAAAGCGTGTCGAGTCCTCGGCGAGATTCGTGTAAAAGCAGAAAGTCATGAAGCCATCGGCGGTCTTATTAATGCGATGGAGAATGAAGATGAGCGTGTCAGAGCGAGGGCATGTCAATTCCTCGGTAATGTGGGTGACGAAGCAGCAATCGATCAGGTGATCACGCGTCTAGTAAATGCACTTGACGATAAGGACAGCGGTGTAAGATTGAGTGCATCTGAAGCCCTGGGTAATTTAGGCGATATATTAGCAATAAAAATGGTGATTAATCGTCTGATCAACTTACTTTGGGATTGGGATCCTAGGGTGAGAAAGAACGCGTATGAAGCGCTGCGTAACATGGGTGCAAAAGCAGCAACCAATCAAATAATCGGTGATCTATTAGATAGACTCGATATTGAGAAAGATGATATCGAGATAAATTTTGCCGTGAATGCTCTTGAAAATGCTCTTCACTATTGGTGCGAAATTAAAGGCACAGAGTCACAGATGTTGTCAAAACTATACGCATATATTAGAAAGAATCGGCGGATGACTCTAAGAACGGTATCACCAGATCGATTCTTCAAAATGTTTTTCGAGACCGGCAACGAAAGTTGGCTTCCTTTAGCTTTTTATGTATCGCTAGTGCATGGCAATGCCGTAACTACAGTTGACAACAGCATCTCGATGTACAGCAGTAAACAGTCGATGATGGTATATGTGCCACGGCTTGAATTGATTCAGAAGATGGTCGAAACTTTTCAGAATTCGCAGCATGATCTTGAGAAATGCTTTGCTCTTGTTTCAAACTCTGAAGAGAAAACGATGAAGTTTTGATACTTTTGGGAACGTATATAATTGAATTGATCAGTGTCATATGCGAGCAATTCCCAAATGTTGATTAAAGTCGGTAATGTACTTATAGATGAGATATGAGAATATTCGACGAATAAAGAAAATCATATCACCCATACCCTAAATGCTCATCTTTTTATGTCAACTCCTATACACAAACTAAAATTAGATCTTAAAATTTGAGAAAAAAATGATTTGTCAGAATGATCAATTATTTTATTCATGATGTATTTATTCAATAATAGTATTTTTTTTAACGACATTATAGTAGAATCTTCATTAGTAGTGACGTGATTTCTTTTGTTGTTGTAACACATTATGTAAGTCTTCTTGATGACCTGAAATAGATACATACATAAATATTTGAACGTTTTATTTTCATATTTGTGGATGAAAATATGAAGGTTTGAATGAGCAGAATATATTATTCACTTACGACGTCTTTTAGTTTCAATGAAAGCATTCAATTTTTTTGTAAGACATTCAGTATCTCTAGATGAAAGAAAGCATAAACTATTAATTTACTTAATAATTTTTTCATAATATATTGTGGAAACCTCTTCAAACACTTCAATTCAGAGCGTTGATCTGCTCTAAATTCTTTGTCTTTCTTTTGATTTCCAAACGATCTAGAGAAAGAATAGTTATTAAAATGTTTGATGAGTTCAGAACTTACTCTTTCAATTGACTTTCTTTTCTCTTCATTTGTTCGATTTGTCTGCGTTGTTCGGTGACTTTCAGTTCGGTCGTTTTCTTTTTTCTACAAAACATAACAGTTAAGAAAACCAGTTTTTTCATTCACCTTAATGAGCTTACCCTTGTAAACGAGTAATAACACCATCAGCATCTCTTGCTTTGTCTTTCATTTGACTATAAATTTAGAAAATGAAAAAAATCGATACAAGAACTCATAAAATTTAACCCCTCTTATCGATTTGTCTCAACATTTTAGTGTAATTCAATGTTTCATATATAAAATATGTAAAAATGTATTTTGTTTAAAAGTTTAATTTCGTTTGTGAGAGATATAGAGTAGAGTAGTTTCTTACTTAGCATTTAGGGGTGGACCGTTAATGTTAATTGGAGTTAATTAAGAAATTTAATTAAGTGATTTTACTAAGCACTTAATATTAATAAAAAATGTTTGCATTATCCACTTAATTACTTAATATTAAGTGTTAACGTAACACTTAATTGTTAATATTAAGTATTAAGCTTTTTGCGTTAATACTTAGTTCACTTAAAATTAAGTGATAAAATGTTTCATCTGCAGAAAACATGAATTTCTTTTGATTGTATTTTACAGAAACGCTGTTTTTTGAAAATACCTATTTCTTAGAAGTTGGAATAGCAAGTTTTGGAGGTCAAGGAATCTGAATTTGTAATTGGCTTCTCATTATTTCTCAACTGACTTCATCATCAGAAAACGACCATTTTATGAACATGACTGAGTTTGATAGACTTACACTGAAGTTTTCAGATGCCGATGAGAACATTAAACTGCTAGTAAGGGTTATAAGAAGATCTTTGGCATCCCGGTGAGCCAGTAAAAGTAACATAGCCCAAATTGTATATACGTAATCTGTTTATAAAAGATAGTCTTCGAGTAAAAATTGACTAATGCGAACACAGAATAAAAGCTTTGGGGAATGTGATGTGTGAGTCGATAGAAAAGCATGCCTGAAACAGAAATATTGACAACAATCCTAACTCACTTTTATTAGCATTCATCATATAGAAATGGTATGTGTGAATCCTCCCCTGACTCATCTGTATAGCAACGAAGAATATGGAGTGATTCAGAGAAGTTAAAGTGTTGTTGATTTGAATCATTCTTCGCAACATTTTTTATTTGAATATCTTTTCTTATAGAGGAGCTGATGCAAGTTGTACGAATTTACCAGTTAGAAATGTCAGCTTTGATACTAACTCTTTAAGCCTAGTGTTCAAAAGTTGCCTAATCGATGTAACAGCCTTGCTTCCACTGTAGGAAAAATACGCTTTCTTCTGATAAATGACACCGATTGATGCATCCGATTGAATGAATAAATAATATCAGTAAAATCGAATGTTTTACATGATTAAAATGAAGAAAATATACTTTTACAAGTTACTTTCGTTCTATTGAATTAAATTTTTCTTCACTTGATTCATGTTTAGATAAATTCCTTTCGCATTGTATTAAATTATGGTAATTCTCGATGAATTTTTACAACTGGTGACTTAGTCCTATGTCTTACATTATATCTCTTAGCTTTAGTTAAGTTTACAGAACATCTGATATATAATAGAAATTCTTTTACGTTAGTCACAAGGCTGCAAAAAGTCATGCATCAAAATGCCATCAGGGTAGTATTTTTTCTACACGGATTTGAAAGATTACGATTAACAAAACTTAAGGAAACGAGTGACCTTATAACTTTGGCATACATTCTAAAAGAGAGATTTTACTTAAAATGATGTGCACATGTCAATTACTTTTTCTAAAATTATTGAAAAATTGTTTAGCCATGTTTTAATGATGACTAACGGCAATATGATAATTGTCTATAGTTTTTAACTCACATTGTCTCGCTTTGATTTGATCCTGTACAAAAGAATCATATATTAAGTGTCCTTTTAATCCTAATCCAATCTCCCCCGACGACTCCCCGGGGAGTCCCCGCAAAATAACGAGATCCCTAGGGACTCCCTCTCTCATGAAGCCGGAACGTGCAACCTCTGCGTGGTATGAGAGAGAAACTTAAAGATATCTTTAAGGCCAATGCGCGTACGCAGAAACTATCGGGCAGCAGCGATAGTGGATTGCTAAGAAGTACTCGGACTGCGCTGAAGAAGGAAATGGTAAACCACTTCAGTATTCTTACCAAGAAAATTCAATGAACAGACAATCAACGATGTTTCAAGTTATGGTGCTGGAAGATGAGACCCCCAGGTCGGAAGGCACCGAAAAGATGACTGGGGAAGAGTCAAGGCCGAGTACAATTAGTACTGTAAATAATGACGCTATTGAATCAAAGCCGAAAGGAAGTTCAATCGCTGAGCACTACAGATACAAGCGGAAAGACCAAAGCTTTTTAAAAACACATAAAATTGGTACATGGAATGTAAGA